TTCCCTCGTAGACCTCAGAAGTGACAGCTTAGATTCTGGGCTTCGAAGGCGCCAGAACTACGAGACAATAAGTTTCTGTTGTTGAAGCCGTCCATTCTTAGTATTCTGTTAGGATAGGCCAGGCAAACTACACATTATCTTAAAGATGTAAAGTCAGATGTTGATTTGTTTAACCTTCTTAAATGCTAATAATAGATTATTTAGGAATGCAAAATTTCCATGTGTCAGTTTTACTCTCATGTAATTATTGATGCACAGAGGTGACATGAAATTAAAACAAATTCCAGTTTGTGCAGAAGGAATAAAAGAGTGGACTAAAAACAGTGACGATTTGATCACTGAAGTTCTGGCCATTAAAATCTAAGACCATAAAGCCTGAGCCTGTCGGCACAGGCATTTAGTGGCAGATCACAACTAAAGAGTCGAGAATCTTCAGAATGGAACACTCTCAACAAAAATAACTTCATTTTAACAAGAAGATATACATTAGACTCTATGTGTGTCTCCATTACATACCTATATAAACATGTATGCATATGCATGTGTACATAAAAATATGAGAAATAAATGAAATAGCAAAATCACGCATTGTTATTTTGCAAAAATTTTAAGAATATGCTGGAAAAAATCTACCTATAAACTTTTAAAAATCAGAGATTGCTTCTACTGTCTATAAAAGCAAAAACTGGAAAAGTAGAGAAATATATGAAACAACTGTTTATACACATTGAGCTAAAGCATGTGGGACTGTAACCCCTGAGAAAAGAAAAATAAACAAAATGAACAATGTGAATGCTTTTGATTTCTGCCTGTAGGGAATTTCTGAACCGCAACAGAGGAAAGTGATCCCAAACAGAGCCCAGAAGTCTTGTGATTAAGGAAACAGAAATCCAAATTTAGGAAGAACAAAGTGACTAGAATTTGGAGAGCCAGATTCCAGAGATGACAAAGCCATGAAGAGAAAAAGGTCCATAAACCTGCATAAAGGTCTCCTGGACTCTGGCTGCATCCAATTTATGAATGCAGATGATGGAATTTGAAAGAGCTATGCAAAAAAAAATGTCAAGAAAAACACCAGTGCTCACGTAGCACTGGGACCCATCTGAATGTCCACCAGAGTGAGGAGATCTTGTGTAACACACGGTGTATTCAGCAGAGAACCTAGAAAGAGCATGGCTTGGTAGGTCTAGTTCAGGGCTACAGTAGACCTATAGTAAAAGATACTATAGGCCTGCCCTTATAAACCTTCAAGATCAACCTCAAGATGAACAAGCAAATCCACAAATAACTGCTGAGGAAAAAAATCCAAACTCTCTGATACAATGTAAAACTAAAATGTCCAGCATCTAAACAAAAATCAATAGACACAAAAGTCAATTTCTCTCCTATGTATGATCAATGAACAATAGAAATTTAAAACTGAAATTAAAAAACATATACTACTTAAATAGGATTTTAAAACCCTTACATATAAATTTAACAAAATATGAACTGAATCTGTATGTATAAAAACTACAAAATTCTAATGAAAAAATAATAATAAAAAGCCTAATTAAACAAAAATATATTCCATGTTCATGGGTTAAAAGAGTCAATATTTATAAGGTATAAATTAATCTGAATTTAATCTATAGTCAATGAAATTCCAATCAAAATCATAGCAAGCAGTTTTGTAGATGTCAACAAACTGATTCTAAAACGTATTTGAAAAGGCGAAGAACCAGAAGAGCCAATATAATACTGAAGAACAAACTGGAGAACTAATCACATTCCATTATTTCAAAATTAGTATAAAACTATAGTAATCAACACAGTGTGATATTGGTGAACAAAGTAGAGACATAAATCAGTGGCACTAAATAGAGAACCCGGAAACAGACCCATGCACTGCAAGCACAATTGACTCATTTTTGATAAAAGCAATTCAACAAAGAAAGAATCGTATTTTTGATCCATGGTATTGGAACAATTGGATATCTGTACACAAAAAAATTAAAAAATAAACTAGACATAGACCTTATACCACATATTTAAAAATTAACACAAAATTGATTATAGACCTAAATATAAAATATAAAACTATAAAACTTCTAGAGTGGTGAACACAATACAATATACAGATGATGTATTATAGAACTTTACATCTGAAACCTATATAATTTTATTAACCAATGTCATCCCAATAAATTCAATACAAAAGAAAAATTTCTAGAAAATTGCATAAGAGAAGATGTAAGTGGCCTTGAAGTTGGGGATGATTTTTTTATTCAAATCCAAAAGCACAATCTCTGAAAGGAAAATTAATAAGCTGAACTTTATTAAAAGATTTCTATCTGGAAAGACACTGTTAAAAGAATGAAAGGACAAGTCACAGACTGGGAGAGCATATTTGCAAATCAGGTATCTGTCAAGAGTTTGTATCCAAAATATACAAAGAACCTTTAAGAGTTGGCAATAAGAAAACAAGCCACCCCATTTAAAAATAGAGAAAAGATCTGAGTAGGTGCTCAGATACAATATCAGTGTGTTAAGGAGGATACAGGAAGGGCAAGTAAGCACATGAAAATATGGTCAGCATTATCGATCATTAGGGAACTGCAAATTAAAACAATGAGGTACTACTTTACATCCTATTAAAATAGTAAATATCCAAAAATTAAGCAACACCAATTACTGATGAGACTACACAGCAACAGGAACTCTCATTCATAGCTGGTAGTAATGGATTAAAAGTGCTATGGCACCCTGAAAGATGTGTGTCTACACAAACACTTATACATCAATGGTCACAGCAGCTTCATTCATAGTCACCAAAACCTGGAAGCAACCAAGATGTTCTTCAATAGGTAGATGAATAAACAAACTGTGGTGCATCCATAAATAGAATATTACTCAGCAATAAAAATAAATGAGCTAACAAGCCACATACACGCACAAAACCTTCAGATACATCCTCGTGAAATAAGGTAAGGCAGAGTTTAAGTTTCAAAAGAAGGAAAAAAACATTGCCTACAAAGAAATGGGCTTATTTTGACATCAGAATTATCAACTACAATGGGTGCTAGAAAGTTACAAAGGCAAAGCCATCCAGGGGAGACTAATTTTACCAAATGATGAATCGAGGATGAGGGCAAAACAAGGACATTCTCAGGCATTTAAGAACTCAGAGATTTTATCTTTCATTTCCTGTTTCTTGAAAATTATTTGAGGATACCATCCAACAAAATGATTCAGATATTCAAGAAAGAGGGAGATGTGGAATCCAAAACAGTGCAACTAACATAGAAGTTCAATAAAAAAAAGTCCCAGATAGCTGCACTCAGAAAGCTATAGATTAGTGAAAATTAGAAGAGAAATTCTCCATTCTTTAAGAAAAAAAATGTTTACCAAAAGTAAGAAATTTGTTTTCATCAAATAGTGCAATCAAGCTGGGAAATTTTGAGGACTGGTGCACTTCTGTTTAAATAGGTATTGTCTAATTTTTATATGGTCACTCAGAAAAACCTAAACTCAGAAAAGTTAAAGTTGCTACATTAAAAAATAGCAATCTAAGCAAATTATTCAAAGTTTAGAAGGAACACCAGAAAAGCTAAAACAGGAAATGAGGACTGGGAGGGCCTTTGTTCTTAGCCATTTTAATGTTTATTAATAGTATTAGGTTATTTTATTATAAAAAGTATTAGTAATAGTAGTACACAGTAAAGAAGGGCAGAAAACCTAAGAGGGTGACTTTCAGTTCCGGCACAGAACCACAATAGGACGTTAAGTGCTACCAGACCACATACCCTAGTGGGGTACAAAAAGAGGCACAGGGAAAATGCATAGCACACAAAGAATGCTCATCTTCTGTACTAATTCTTTGTTTCTTTATCATTCTGGACTAAATGGCCTATCTTTATCATATAAACTTCCACAGAGATCTTCATTTCGTCCGCTTTCAACAACTACTGAGTGTCACGCACTCCAATTCTTCACCACACACATTTAAAGAAAGTGCTGTCTACAGTCATATCACTGTATGACTGTAGGAGGCAGGAGTCTACATTGGTATAACCTTTTCAGGGCAAAAATTTGGCAGTCCTGCTGGAAATGTAAACTAGGGCTACACTTTGACCTAACGATTTCATTTCCCAGAACCTACCCCATCCAAATGCTCAAAGGTAACTCTATATACAAATTTTCCACGAGGCTGTTACTGTTTGTAACAGAGGAAAAAAGCCGACCTAAGTCAAATGCACATTGGTGTATGCAGAATATTTTGGTGCCATTTTAAAAAAGAGATACAGCTACATCGAGTGACACTAACAGGTGATGTATATCCACACAAACACATATATTGGGCAATGAGTGGGCCCAAGATGTTTGGAGGAAACAGTTTTTCACCTTGTGCATTTGATTTTATTTTTATAAGAAGCATTATTGTTTTTACATTTAAAAAAATCAGAGCATGGTTTAACTGTCATATATTTGAAAAAGAGAAAAACTCAAGCGTCTTTTTATCGGTTCACTCTCAAATCTAATGGGGGAGCAGGAATCATAACGCAACTGGCACGTTGCAGCCTAGGATTTGCGAAAAGGCAGAATTCACTGGCGGGGTCATTTTTTAGTGGAATAAGGCAAGAAAATGAGGGCAGAGCTGGGAGGTGAACCCATGAGCGGTGGGGCTGGCCGAGCAGTCCAGGGACCCGGCTCAGGAAAGGACACCGCAGGTGAAGCCGACCCTCGGAGTCCGCGGCAGCCCGCGACGCTAGCGTGACCTGGGTAACGAACTGGAAATGGACTGAGCACTGGGTGTGGGGGAAGGAGGCTGGAGGCTCCAACACCTAAGGGGAGGAGGGCGGGGGACAGAGCAACAGGCTAGGGACTGGGTCGGCGGCGTGAGAGTTTGGCCGGCGGAGAGCGGGACGGCTTCCGAAAGTGCACGGACAGGCCGGGCGCCCGCCCGGGCAGGGTGCGCGCCGGGTTCCCGCTCCGCTCTCGGGCGGCCACCGCTGCCGTACCTTCCCAGGAGAGCTCTCCTCCGGGCTCCCGCTTCAGGAACTTGTACCAGAAAGTGTCCACGCGGCCCGGCTCCGCCCCGTCCTGCGCCGCCTCCTCCGGCGCCAGCTCCACCTCCCCGAGCCACAGGCCGGGCTCCTGCAGCGCCAGCGCCCCGGCTCCGGCCGCCGTGCCCGCCGGCCTCAGGCGCACCGCCCCGGGCGGCTCCCAGCGCCCCAGTTCCGGCCGCGACCCCACGACCAGAAGCTCGGGCCGGGCCCCGGCCACAGCGGGCGGCACCACTACCCCGAACCGGAACCGCATGGCGGCGGGCGGCAGGGCTCCCCTTGCCTCGCGTCTCCCGGCGGCAGACGGGGCCGGAGCGCGAGGCGGCCGCGGCGATTGGACCGCAGCGTTTGAGGCCCGGACGCGAGAGGCCTGGGCGCCGGCAGGGACACGTGCGAGGCTGCCCCTTTTTTGGGCTGCATCACGCGGCTCAGGAGCCCAGGCCTCGCCCGGGCCAGGACCTGAGGCAGAGGAAAAGGGTCAGTGGGAGGCACCACCCGCCTGGCCCATAGAATCGGGCTGGCCCCTGTCCAACCTGCCTGCTTCTACCCCAGCTCCGCAGGGCTGGCGACTTGCAGAAAGAAAAGGGAAATAAAATGGGGTTCAGAAAGGGAGGAAAACCTCCCGAGCCCTGCGGTTTTGCAATCATCTTTCCAAATGACGGGAGATTACTGTATGAGGTTCCCAAACAAAAAAGGGAATGGCATGTAGAAAGCAACCTCTGTAACAGTGAAGTTGGAGAAGGATCCCGGACCTGGTATCTGGAGAGCCCGGAGCCTTAAAAACGTCACGGACTCTTTGCCTGGGCCTCAGGCTCTTCATCTGTAAAACGTGGGCATAAAATAATTAAAAGACCCTGCCAATCCCAAAGCTTCTCTGATTGGTGGAAGAGGCATCTCTGAGGACCCAGAGCTGTTGCAAAAACACATTTTTTTCCCTTAGCTACTCCAAATCGATGCCTGAAATAAAACATGATCACTTTCCTTTAAAAAAAAATTGTACTGTTTTAGTATGTGTAAAATGGATTGCTTTACCTTCCCAAGTACAACAAAAATTCATCCTGTGATTATAAATGCATGACACTCATAACCTTTAAATAGCATAAAATAGAACTTTTTGTTGAAGAGTGTCTTCCAGTAACAGCACTATTTTTTCAACTTAAAACAATTTGATGTCAAGAAACTCAGGTTTATAGCTATTCCATCAAAAGAAAACTATTCACAGGGGAGGCAGGGCCTTATTTTTGGCACTGCTATAAAATAACCAAGTGTCCCATTTACTTATTTGTTCCTTTTTGATTCTTTAATAAAACCGTTCTCCTGTTCTTACATTTGTATATTCACAAACGCTGAACAATCTCTTATTTGAAAACTTGGTCATCGTGAAAGCCAAAATGTCATGCATTCAGAATATCCTAAGTAAAACAGAAAGCACAAAAATGTAAACCATACAAACTCAGTACTCTCTGTAGAACAATTAGTAAATGAATTAGTACACTTTGCTCTTAAATATTGATATTCCACTCAGTGTTTGCTTGGTTGCTAAGCTGAAGGATAAACACAAAGAAAAATGTGAAGACAGCAAGGCGGGCCAAACAAGGCTGATTCATTAGCAAAGCCGACGTGAAATCACAGTGGCATGTGAGTCCATGTATTCAGATTGACCCTACAGAATATTCTTAGTCTCATTTTAGGAAATTAAGAGTCAGCTGGCCATGCAAGAACACTAGGAGCTGACAGTTTAGGACTTTCTTGTTGAAAATCTGCTGCCTCTATTGTGTGCTTTCCAGATGGCATTATTCCCATCCTCTCTTTCAAAAAAAAATACTGTCCATTGTCAACCTAAATAAAGAAGTAAACTGAGGAAAGCTCAAAATTGTCAAAAATAGGATTTTTTCCCATGAAGAGCAGAGGAATTGCAATACAGGAAATGCAAACTATAGCAAGCTATACATCAATCTATCGAGGACTTGGAATAGACTGTATTTGTGGGCAAGGAATGTAAAGAGGGGAGAGTTCAGTTACATAGAGTCTATTAAAATCAAAAACAAAAACCAGCTTTGAAAATTTCCTGAGCAGACAAATAGAGCCCAGTCATACAAACAAAACTCAATTCAGCTTATTTTGGAAGGTCAACCAATCTGGGTCATTTCTTGTTTATGTCTCAAGAAACCATAAGCAAAATTTCCCAAGATTAATATGAGGTAACCACTGACCAACTCCCTTTCGTTTAAGAAAAGTCCAATATTATCAGTTTACTGTAAAATATGAATTTACAGGAAATCCGTCTCTCAGTCCTTATGTTTGGTGTCCCTACGATTTTCTATTTTATATCCTCCAGTTCCATTTTAGGTTAAAATTCTTTCACACCATTCCATAGATAAAACATCAACAACAAAAGAAAGAAACCAATGTATTTGTTTAACAGACATTATTCCACTTCTTGCATTATAAAGAAGTTGAGTAATTTTAACAGTTGGAAGTACCTCTAAACAAAATTGGTAACATGGATTTATATGTAGTGCAAATGTGATAGCTACATTGTGCAGCCAGTAAAACACAACTAGAAAGTAGAGCAAGACCAAAATACGGATTAAAGAACATATAGCGAAGCTTCGATCATACTGTGACTGTAAATCATTTGAATTTGTTAACCACGAAAATTATAACAGCCAATGAGCCCTAATTATGTGCCAAGCATGTAGTTTTCATACTCATATGATCTTACATATAATTCTCTCACCAATTCTTTGTGGTAACTACGACTGTTGTCCCCATTTTATGTGAAGAAACAGTCACAGGAGGGTCCGGTAAATAGGCCACAACAAGGAAGGGACAGAGCCAGTGCTAAAAGTCATTCATTCAGCTTATAGTTCAAATTTATACAACACATAAAATTGCATTATATGCAATGTGCATGACTTGGTTTCTGATAAGGAAAATCATTACAGAATGCACTTAAATCCCAGCATATTTAAATGAGTTATTCGTCATTAGGTCATAATAAATAATGAACTTCCTGTAATTATTTCCTGTAACTAACTTGATCCTTAGAAATGATGGCACAGAATCATAAGCAGCAATCTGAATTGGTCAATGAGTCTATAAAGACCTGAATGTCTGGTATTGAGAGTGGATTTGAGGTCAGGTTCTAGAAAATGGTCATTTGATGCCTTTCTATGGCTTTCCTGTTGGTAATGGAAATGTAGATTTAAGAGACCAAGGTGATGAATTTTTTCTAGTTATTAGGCTGTGTTATGCCAGGCTCTTTTTCCTGCTTATGTTCCCCATGTGACTTTTTTTTTTTTACATTTCAACGAATCATGGTATTTAGTAAAAAGGACTATTTATGAAATCGATTTGAGGCCAGATCCTTGATAATATGAAGACAAGCTTACTTTAAAGCAAGAATCAACTCAATAGAATAACATAATTCTGGCAATATTTTTTAAACACCAAACCCATTTCTTTCACTGAATTTCTTTTGTATGGCGCTATCGTATAATAACTACAACATTTCTTGAAGAATGGGTGATAAATTCAAATGTAGAGTTTCAGGATCCAATTCAAATGTTAATTCTTTCAAAGGTCCCTGGGGGAAAGGTTTTACTTAGCTCTCTGTGGCTGATGTTTTCTGGAGCAATCTTTGACTTGTCAATGGGTTGTCATAAATTTGTCCTTACAACATCGTGTATGTGTACACGTACTCACTGATGTCAGCCCCATTTCCTCCATGTGCTTAGGGACTCTTGTAACTCTTCATTTATTACTTATCAGAACATATCTAGGAGCTTAATGTATCACATATACTATTTCAAATTTTGAACCTTAAAAAGTAAAAACAAAAGCAAACAAACAAAACCTTCCAAGGAGAATTTGACTACAGCTTAGCAACTTTTGTACATTGTGGCTGACTTTTCTAGGTTAGAAAATTGTGGGCTAGGCTATTTGAAATCCCTTCGAGAATCTGGAGCAGTAGAAGGAACTGAGCTGCACCAAAGCTTTATCCAAAAATCTCACATTTCTCAACTGTGTAAACAATTCATGTCCTCTTTGATACATATACAAATCTCCCACCTCCAGGGGATTCCAGTGAGTCCACTTCCCACCCCATCCTGACAGAGAGAAGTACTGAATCTTCCATGTCTCGCCAACAGCCAGTTTTGTCATGCATCTTTTCTGTGATTTCTACGATATTAAAATGTTAATGAGTAACCACAAGAAGGATCACAAATAACCTCAAAACAACACCCAGAACTGCCAGAAAGTTGAACTGTATGAAAGTCCAACAGCCAAGGATTTAAAGAAGCTATATTCATCCAGATGGGTTGGAGGGGTGGAGATAGGGAACTAGGACAAAGACAATACAATGTGACCATGGCAAGGTGGTGGCAGCAAGGCGGTGGCAGTGGTGGCTGGCAGGATGGGTGGTCCCCCGTTCAAGTGCGGTGGATGAAAGTCAGGAGGGACACCTTGGTAGCAAGCGATCCCAGCCCTAGACCAGACTGCACAGCCCAGGGTTCCAGCACCAGGAAAATAAAGCCTTATAACTCATAAAAGCCACTGGGATTTGGGGCAGCAGAACAAACTTTCCATCTCCTAGAAGAGTTCATTTAAATGTCCCACATAGTTCTAGAATGTATGCAAACCCACTCGCTCTGGGGACCGCCACCAGGGCCACAGCTAGAAGGACACCAGGCACATGGAGGACCCGGGAGAAATCACTGGAAATGGGGCAAGCACTGAGCAAGCCCCAGCAGCCAGGCAGGGGCACCGTAGCCTCTCTGACTCCTCCCCCACACACAGAGCCATAAAGTGGTGAAGCAGGTTGCCCTGCTCTGGCAAATACCTAAGGCTCCACCCCATACAGCCTAACAGGTGCATTAGGACAGAGGGCCAAAGCAGCTCTGCCCAATACACAGAAACAAGCACAGGGAGGCAGCCAAACTGAGAAGGCAAAGAAATGTGGCCTAAATGAAAGAACAGAACAATACCCCAGAAAGAGAACTAAATGAAACGAAGATAGCCAACCCATCAGAGGCTGAGTTCAATACTCAGAGAACTCAATGAGTATGGGAAAAACATAAGGACAGAAATGAAGGCTACACTAAGTAAAGTAAATAAAAATTGGCAGGGAACCAACAGTGAAGGGAAGGAAAGCAGAATTCAAATCAATGATTTGGAACATAAGAAAAAATAAACATTCCACCAGAACGGAATGAGGAAACAAGTATTCAAAAAAAATTAGGAGAGTATAAGAAGATTCTGGGACATCTCCAAAAGAGCCAATGTCTAAATGATAGAGATGCCAGAAGGAGAAGAGAAAGAGCAAGAAATTGGAAACTTATTTGAAAAAATAATGAAAGAAAACTTCTCTAATTTGTGAAGGAAATAGACCTGCAAGTCCAGGAAACATAGAGAGTCTCAA